TCAATTGATAGTGGCATGTCAGTTTAGGAAGTGTACTGAATCCACAAGCGCACTGGATCCTGTAGGATTCAAATTAACTGATTAAGCTCATCAAACCCCAAGATCCCCAAGTAAGCCATTCATAAACCCACTCTTAGACAGCCTGGTGGGTCCCAAGCCACCGCTGCCGCCACAGCCACAGCCACAGCCACAGCCACCACCACCACCACCTATGAAACTTAGAGAACTCCGTGAACAAACGTGAGAACACTGTTTCAACCAAAAACCACCTAACGCGAATGCTCGGGAGCGAAACCCCGACACGCCGCCCACCCGGAAGGCACGCAACTTTTCTGCGTGTCCTTGAGCCATGTCATCAAGTGGCAACGTTCGAACTCTCGGCACCAGCACTCCGAAAAACAGGAGGGACAGTGACTAAGGCCACCGCCCTCACTGCATATTTCGGTCCGAAAAACAGGAGGGACAGTGACTAAGGTCACCGCCCTCACTGCATATTTCGGCGTATGCTCGGTTCTGCGAACTTGGTACACCTCTTGATTTTGAGTGTGCTCTAGAGTGCTTGGGATGGTACACTTTATGCGCGTGTCCTCCTTGCAAAAACTCATGCCCAAAAACGGCTCTGGCAGCCGCAGGCGTGAACTATGAGGGAACCTTTGGTGTCACAAACTCACACACCCCCTCGACCAAACACTGTTGTGTCACCAAGCAATCTACAAAAGGTTGTGAGCTTTACACGGCTTAGTGGTTATGAGCCGTACTCTTATGCATGCATGCTTTCACGGGATGTGGATGCAATGCCTGCAAGGCTTGAAGACTCGGTTCAAATCGATGGCGGGCAGGCAATCGCATTCACCATTCTCTCGGACACGATGCAAGTGCGAAGCAAACTCAAAAGAGAATCCTACCTTGCCATCTTGCGATACCAGGCCAAGAGGCATGCACTTCGCGCGCAAAGGAGCTGTCACCAAGGATCCATCCAAGTGTTTTCGAAGTGTCATGCATTCTCTCTTATGAATCCTCTCACCAGTCTTCCTAGTGAACACATAGCGAATGGCCGGAAAGTCTTCCAGCGGGCGCGGCTCACCTGGCGAATACGATGGCGGATGAGGTGAGCTTGAATGGCTTTCGTCCACATGGTGCCACTCAGACTCATGGCTGTCTTCCTCAACTTCTTCCATCTTTCCATACCCACCATCCTTCTTCTCCAACTCCAAACCTTCCACTTCCCTTCAAATTCTCACTTCCAGCTGTTGTGGAATCCTGCACTGAGCTCGATGCCGCGGCACTTCATCCCTGATCATGGTCATCGCGATGGACGTTCAGTTCGACGCTCACCTTTGAAGGTGATTCCACCTCGATCACGATCCGGGACTTGGGAGCCATGGCAATCAAGTTCGAAAGAAGCCAATTGTATCCACTTTATGGAATTTCAAGATCTGGTGCTTAAACAGTCATTATGGTATCTATGGCTATTGCGGTGTTTCACATCGAGATCATCGAACCCTACTGCAACAAATGGCATAGTCCATCAATGAAGTCAAGTGATATTATTTCTATTGAATTCCGTTCTTTCTATTGCATGGGGTCTTCACTCAGGGAGAGACTGCAACCGGAGGAACCAAGAGGCCAGCTGTTGGACTAGCTTCAATGGATATACTCCTAGCGCATGAAGACTCTGGCTGTTTAATGGCAAATGTGTATTGCAATGACAGCACTTGGGATCAAACAACATGCAATTGCTAGCAATTCGGAACTCATGTTTCGCTTGGGCCTCTTCGCTCTGAGTGTACGCACAGCGCTGGATGATGGTGATGTCCTTCAAATTTCCCTCAAGGCAGTACGTCTGAACCAAGGGTTCTTTCCACTACATGCATGGCCTTGCAAGCTCGAGACACCTAACGTGACAACGCAACATGACGTCTCGGGAACTTTCGATCAGAGGTTTGAACTCGGCCATGCGCTGCTCTCTGATTTCTGACCTGCGAGGTTCTGGGATCAGGTTGATCACTGGCGAACCACCTGTACACGGAGGCGATGCCCAACACATCAACATGACCTTTGGAAAGTCTCGGAGGACCTTGTCGACCCAATCACACAACTGAACAGCGTTCAAATTGTCTTCCTCGGTGACTGGCACAATCCACAAGGAACCATGTGAATCTTTTCGAACCACCTGTGAAAACGTTCGAAGTGCAAAGTTCCACGATCACATGCGAGACCTTTCCGTCAGCTATGTCGGACAAAATCTTCAGCAGCTTCAAATCAAACTCTGTCTCACCACTGCCAACCGATGCGATGTCGTCATGCGGAAAAGTTGACAATGGCTCTTCTGGCAACATCACCTTTTCATTCTCTGGGTCATGCTGTACGGCAGCAACATCATTTTCAGGTACCTCTTCGTTTTTCGTTTGTTTGGATCGTTTCTTCAACTCTTTACCACATTTGGTCTGCCAGGCTTCTGGCGCACTGATCTCGAGAATACCCATCTGTTCCCTATGGAATTCAGTTAAATCACGATTCAAGATCTTTGTGAGAAGGTCTGCACTACAGAATTTGCCTGAGATCCAAACCAAAACCATGTGACCATTCTCTACCAGTGATTGAACATAACATGTGGCTAGTGAGATGTGCCTCACACGGCGTGACAACCCTTGGTTCTGCAAGACAGCTATGCAAGACTGAGAGTCCGAGTGCAGCAGAACTGGAAAGTAGTCACGAGTTCCTGAACTTCCGATCTGATCAAATTGCATAGCAGCAAGGCTTTCTTGTTGAAACTTCTGAAGCTCTGTCATGTCGGCAAATGAATCGAGGTACTCCACTAAATGTCTCAATCCAACGCATTCCTGTGCAACTTGACGCACCGACACGACCTCAGCTTCACATGAAAAAAGTGTCACGCATCCTTGCAATCGGCTGAAGCTCTTGACAACACATCCTCGCCAAATAATGAGGCCACCACTAACTGATCTTCGTTTCTCAACATCGCTACTTCCCCATGAAGCGTCAGAGATTCCGATCAGAAAATGGTCCTAGATGCAACTGTCGTGAACTAGATCGGATGCCCCTTTCAGGGCTCCGCTACCATATGAAACTTAGAGAACTCCGTGAACAAACGTGAGAACACTGTTTCAACCAAAAACCACCTAACGCGAATGCTCGGGAGCGAAACCCCGACACGCCGCCCACCCGGAAGGCACGCAACTTTTCTGCGTGTCCTTGAGCCATGTCATCAAGTGGCAACGTTCGAACTCTCGGCACCAGCACTCCGAAAAAACAGGAGGGACAGTGACTAAGGTCACCGCCCTCACTGCATATTTCGGCGTATGCTTGGTTCTGCGAACTTGGTGACTTCTTGATTTTGAGCGTGCTCAAGAGTGCTTGGGATGGTACACTTTCTTGTGCGTGTCATCCTTGCAAAAACTCATGCCCAAAAACGGCTCTGGCAGCCGCAGGCGCGAACCCTTATGCATTGCATCTGAACAAGTGAACATGAACAGTATTGGGCGAACACTATGAGGGAACCTTTGGTGTCACTATTTCACACCACCACCACCACCACCACCACCACCCACCACCCACCACCCACCACCCACCACCCACCACCCACCACCACCCACCACCACCCACCACCACACACCACCACACACCACCACACACCACCACACACCACCACCACCACCCGGCACCGGCACCGGCACCAACAACAAAAAGCAGCCAAGTAACAAGCTGACAACCAATCCAACATGTTCTCCAAAATGTGTTCCCGTCACCAGGTGGACCTTCTAGCTGTCCACGATTACTACATTTTTGGCGTCCCGCTGCTAGGGCCACCCGGCCGTCGTGTGCGTGGGTCGCGGCAATGTGGCCATCGGTACCGACGACCTAGAAAATGGCGAGCGATCTAGGCTGGGTTGCTTGGAGAACCCAAAAGGTTGCCATTATCTTTCTTATTATTACATGATGCTAAATGTGTGCTTGGGTACTGAACAAAATCCAGAAGATCCCAGAAGGACAATTGCAGAATGATTTCATGTCAACCTGTAAAGGCAAGCATTCCTGAGGAATCGCACAGCGTAGGCTGCGCAGCACCTTTACCAAAGTTCTCGCCTCATCACGTGCGATCATCGAATTATTTCCAAATACAAGTAAGACAAGTAATTACAAGTAACTATGTTTGTATATTATGTTTAATGAATCGTTGGATGACGCCTTGAGATATGAGTAAGCAAAAACGAGCCAGCCCAACGATGGTGGAAGAGACCCACAGCTTATTAGGCTTACTTCCAGTCATCCGAGTTTCAACCAACAGTTGGTAGTTGAATTCCCTTGGCTGTTCATGAGATCCCTTTCCTGGCTCTTCGTGTACACGCGCCAAATTCATCGCAAGTCCCCATCCGCTTCTGCCCTATACAGCCTATACATGTTCTCTCCGGGCTCGGTGTCGGTGAACACTTACGCGTCCTGAGCTCTCAACGTTCCCCCTTTCCATCTCCTTTGCCATTTCCTTTGGCTGCACCTTTCCTGAGCAGCTTAGGGTGTTGATAGCGGGAGCAACGTAGCCAAATCATCTGAAGTGGATAGCCGTTTGACTAGCATGCTGGCTTGGCAAAAAGCAAAAAGGATGAAGAAATGAAGACTTTGCCTATCCACTGGGCAGAAGTGTTCTGCCATGTTTTTTCTCGTTATTGGGGGTGTATGTATCCGTGTTGTTGTTGTTGTTGTTGTTGCTGCAATGTGCATTCGGAGCTTCAAAAAATGCAGTCAACAAACTTCCCGAGTTGTTCTGAACCAATCTCTGTCTGAATGACACCATGACTCGAGATACTTCAGGGAGCTTCAGGGTACATTATAAATTACTATTCAGAACCTGATATCGTGTGGATTATCGGGGGTGCTGCGTGGGATTGAAAGTCTGCTTCGTCGGCTGCTTCGTCGATCCAAATCTGTCGCGCATCATCGCGCATCCAGATCAAGCCGGATCATATCTCAACATATCTCAACCACACCAGTGGTTTCCAGAAAGTACTGATGCTGCATGACGCTGCACCCCCTGACCAAACCAAATTGCCAAGGATCCCCTTCTCAGCGAGCCTCAAAACATGCAATCTGTGAGAGGGGCCGCTGGCTGGGCAAGCGCATCAAACAGGCTTCTTTGAAACTTTGAAAGCTAAAGAAACTCAGAAAGGCATTGACCGCCGTTGTTTGACTTACAGTATCCGAATCCATCTCGGGTCCGCTTCCTTTGATGGTCCAAGTCCTGAACGCGCAGGAGCATCCGCAATTCGTGGCTATAGGCCACAGTAGCTCTACATAGTTGAAAGGCCCCACGAACACCAAACGGCCCCGCAAAAAAGGCTGGGGGTCCTGGTCCTTCAATTCTTGAGGTCATGATGGGTGAAATTTTTGCAACCCGCGGCTGCTGGAGACCGGTTTTAGTCCCAATCGGCTTCCGTCGAGCAACTGCTTCTGAAACATCGCTTCCCGCTCTTCCTTCTTCTGTGCACGGCCGACATAGAGAAGATGTTCAGGATGTCCTTGGAGCAACCAAAACATGCAAAGCCCCCAGCACACGTCAGCGAGTCTGGGAAACCCCTGGTGCCCCGCTCTTGTGAAAAAGAAAGGAGGGACACCTTAATGGGGTCCTGCAAACCGCCTCCAATCATTGTTGAATTATTTGACCTAAACTAAAAATGAATCGACTCCCAAGCGTTGCTGACGGTTCGGGTGTCAAACGGTGTAAACCCCCGCTCCATCCTTCAGGATCACCTTTCAATTATTAAAAGGGACTTGGTTTTCGCACCACGCGATCGACAAAAGTCAAAGAGCGAAAATCGACCTCCTGACCCACTCTGGAGTGCAGAAAAGAAGTGGTATAAAATCAAAGGGCAGTTGTTGAATGGAGGGATACTCAACCACCCAAAATCCCACAGGCTGTGGGAATGGGGGGAGGTAGTCAAAGCCCTTTACCCCCCCACACCCCCTGCACCACGCGCACACACTGACCCCGACCACATGCTCAGCGACCATCCATATCCAACGTCACTGGCGGAGCTTTACCTTCTGCCTCCAACTTTTTGGCCTCGACGAGACAATCTGTGACTGGAGTCAGTTCTTGGGACACAACGGTGAGGAGAATGGGATGAAGTGACGAGAGGGTACGTTGATCGAGCCTCTTTCTGCTCCTTCCGAGTTCGCAAGTCCTTGCGGTGCATCAGCCGCACACACCTGGGTCAGACTCATCGAGGCCCAAAGCACTGGTGCGTGAAACACTTTTCTCAGCCACGAGCTTCAAGGGAACACACTTCACGATCTATATCGCAGATGACATTCACGGCTATGACTTGCTCCCTTGCAAACCCCAAGAAAGAAGGCCGCTGAAAACAGAGTGGTGACCTGAAGCCCAGGGGAGGTGTTCCTCCGACCAGACCCAGCCAAGCAACTCCTTGGCATCTTTGGACTGCTCGAAGTTCACAAACCCAAAGGCTCGGCCCCGTTGGTCCGTCATGATCTGCACATGTCGGGCCACAAAAAGTGCAACATCCCAATGGATGTGGATTACATGTCCACCGAAACGAAAGTCACTAAGTGCAATGGTCAGTTTTCAAGAAGGCGGATTGTTGGTTTCCTGCCTGAAGTCCTCATGGCAAGTCATGGACATCACAAAAAGTACCACGGAATCTGCGAATTCCCCGCCTTGGCCGCCTGAATCGGGCCGAAACCATCAAAGAGCTCACAAAGGTCTTGCCTCGGCTCCAGCGACCCGCGCACGCGCAAGCGGTGGATCCACACGAGAGACAGTTTCTCACATGGAACCCATGTCAATTTGGAAGTGGTGAAGCCAAACGCTGAATTTAGAGTAATTTTGCACATGGA